TTCAGCGGTACACCACTGCTGGTATACCAGAATAGCAGAGATAATGCTTCGTGTAAAGTAGAGAAAATCACTTGTTTTGCTGGGTGGATTCCGTTACGTGGACTCATAGGAATTCCATTGAAGGTTTTTGGTGCCGCTTGAAAAACAGGATAACAGCTATAAATGGATCCCATAAGGATGCCTGGATGGGGATTATCCCATAAGGATCTCATTTATAGGCATTCAGATGAATATAAGTACAGGATGTGGTGTGACTTCTCCATTGACAGTCACATGCTAAACTGGGAGATGTTTTTGTCTCACATGTTCGAGAAAGATACCCTTTGTCAATGGAGTTGAAGATTGAACGATCAATTCTTGGTTGTTTGCTCAAAATCAACTTCCTCGATTTTCGCGGAGGCATCAATACGACAGTCATCGTCTCATCGGTCGCTGTTCAGAAAGAAGACTGAAACATCGTCAGAAGTAACAACGATTTATTATTGTAATATTTGTTTACAGACCTTAGTTGCTTAGTTCGTTTATTCCTTTTATATGTTGGTGTAACAATAAAGAAATAACAAGCGGCAGATCGGTGTTTTGGTTTTTTCGTCCGTTATTACTAAGCGTTTCTGAAATCTTCGAAGAACAGCGTGGGCCCGAGCGTAGCGAGAGCTGGGCATTAACGGTTTATGAGACTTTGCTGACAGTTTCTGACGATGGAAACAGATCTGGCGGATTCAAACAGTTGGTGAAAGTTTGGATAGTCGCCGTTCATTTTTCCTGGTGCCGGTCAAGTCCTCTTTGAACAAGCAATATCTGGAACTTTTTGGAATTGGGTCAAGTTCAACAATGCCTGGGTCAAAGAAGGGACAGAGTGTCTTGGATGCAAACAGGAAAGTAAGTCATGGTGACTTGTCTGTTAATTGTAACGATGTGTCTGATGTTAAACATGATATGGTTGATGTTACTGTTTCGCCGTTCAGGGATAATAGGAACATCAAACTCCCTAAATTAGAACCACGATGTTTTGATGGAAACCCGGCTGATTATTTACAATTTGTAAAGGAGTTTGAGATCATGTTGAGTGGTTTTTTATTAAATGATGAATTGAAGTTAATGTATTTGATGAGATATTGCACTGGAGATGCTGCAAGAGCTATACAGTGTTGTAAGTTTATGAAGCCAAAAGAGGGCTACTACGAGGCTATGAGCATATTACGTCAAAGGTTTGGAAGACCTTCGATGATTGCAGGGAAATTATTCGAGGCTGTTAAGGGTAATGGTGGTCAATTACAGGATGACTCCCAGGCACTCACTGAGTTTTTAGATAATTTGCTAATTTACAAGAATGGAATGATTTCGATGAATCGAATGAGTGACCTCAACTCGAGTTTTATACTAGAAGTAATAGCAAGACGTCTACCTACTCGACTGCAAAGGAAGTGGGTGAAGATGAGCTCCCGTATGGAGGATGAGGGTATCGAGCCAAAGTTTGATGATATCCTGAAACTGGTAAAAGATAGTGTCAATCAATCTATGAGCAAGTTTTCCAGTCTATTGCATCTCACCCCTAGAATAGAGCAGTCTGAGAGCAAAATACAATCATTGATGACGAATATGCCTCAGAGAGGTGGATATCGAGAAGGCTCCATGATGTCTAGTAATGCATATAGACCTAGTGAGTGTAACAGGTTTCGTAGTACATCCTCAACAGATAAGTTACAAGATGCAAGACAAACACGGTTGTGTTTCACACGTTTGCAAGAGGTGCATACAGAAGTGAACTGTGAACCAGTGAGCAAGTTCAGTGATAAGCTAAATGTAAACTCCAGGTCTGACTCCGAATTGTGTGACGATAACGGTGTGGTGAAGAAGTCTGTAGTTGCAACTGGTAAGCCGTTGTTGAATAGAGTGTCACAGAATAGAGTTACTGCTTCAGAGTGCAGTTCTGACTCCAAAAGTTTACAAGGTATTACTAGTCAGAGTGAAGTTATAAAACCTTTTATGATTTGCGAGGAGGAACCAAAATTGTCTACTTCTGTTATTAAAGAGTTTGAAAATGATGAAGTTGACGGTAAAGTGAATATTCGTGATAATGATCATGATACTTCACAGTTGTCTTTGGTTGATCATTATGAGATGAGGGATATGCCTACTACTGCTAAGTTAAATAAAGGTTCTGTACAACTACAACGTGAAGTAGAATTGAACGCAGATGCAGTTCCAAAAGGTGTGCATACTTGTGAGACAGTCAGTGTAATTGATCAGCGTGTAGCCCACCTATCATCAGATGATAGTGCTAAACCCGAACTAGTAGTGAAAGACAGCAGTGGTGGTAATCTTGCAGTTGGACAACTATCTGAAAGCCGAAAAAGAACAGCTTCTGATCCACCGCTAAGTTCATCACCTTGTGTCACTCAGTCATCGTTGGTGTTTTCATCCACAATGAAACAGATGCCCATCAACTCAAGTATCTTGTGCAATGACTATGGTAGTATCAGTTCGTTTGAAAGGACGAATATCAATGGTCAGTTTAGTGTGGATAAGCCAAGTGTAAAGGAGAGAGTTATTGTTAAATTGACTTGCACGAATAAAGGCATTTCTAGTTTCAAGTTACTATTTGAATGTTATTATCTTTGGTGTAAATTACTCTGTTTCTATACTTGGTTGATGAGATATGTCGTGTGTTTGTTGGTCATCTATATTCTACGATACAATGACATGGGCGTGTTGCCGTTCAGATTTGAGGATATAGCTGATAGAAGGAAGTTAGCAAATGAACTCTGCGACGATTTTCCAACCTAGAGCGTCAACCTGAGAAGGGTTGTAGGCGTACTGGTGTAAGTCCCGCAATTCTTCAAAGGAATTCCACCAAGACATGATCGGCGAGGTTGTTTGTACTATTTGTATATACGTGTGGTGTGTCATATCAATTGGTGTATTTTGGATTCATTGTGTTTACTTGTAGTTTTCGTATCTTGTTGTTATTGCGTAATTTTGTTAAAGTTTTCGTCGTGATTACTTCTGAAGTTGTTTCGAGTCTTCTACATCCATGAATGAATTGATTGATGTTAGGGACAGCAGATGGGTTGTATACGCCGGGGAGGCTAACGCTGAGAACGAAATACACACGGAGATAATTGTTAGCTGCGGTCCGACACGCCGGGGAGAAAGAGTGTAAACGACTGAGGCTCGCATGCGTCACCGCTACTAGAACTGAGGCAGAATGAGTGATAAGCGATTTCAGTGGTAATTGGTAATGAGTAGATAAGAGGATGTGCGTAGAGTATCGTGAGGTGCTGCCATGGTCACATTGCATTCTGCAAGAGTCATTCTAGCAAGTGGAGACTGTGTTGCAAGATGTCAAGAGGAGGTCTCTATCTGGAGGCACAGGTCGTCATTGATGTGTAAGATTGTGCTGTGAGTATGCTTGTGGTGTGTTGGCTTTTCTGTTTGTTTTCCATTTCAGCTCTGTCCGTGTGACCCAGGTTCTCGCAATGGCATCCAAGTCGACGTGCATTGATCGTGAAGGAAAAAAGGGTTGGATCCGTTTTTTGTCGGGGAGTGTCAATGGAGTTGAAGATTGAACGATCAATTCTTGGTTGTTTGCTCAAAATCAACTTCCTCGATTTTCGCGGAGGCATCAATACGACAGTCATCGTCTCATCGGTCGCTGTTCAGAAAGAAGACTGAAACATCGTCAGAAGTAACAACGATTTATTATTGTAATATTTGTTTACAGAGCTTAGTTACTTAGTTCGTTTATTCCTTTTATATGTTGGTGTAACAATAAAGAAATAACAAGCGGCAGATCGGTGTTTTGGATTTTGCGTCCGTTATTACTAAGCGTTTCTGAGAAATCTTCTAAGAACAGCGTGGGCCCGAGCGTAGCGAGAGCTGGGCATTAACGGTTTATGAGTCTTTGCTGACACCCTTTGTAACCGTTTTATCCTTTTTTATGCTTTTTTCTATAAATATACGTTTCCATTCATCGTATATGCCTATTTAATGTGATTGGTCCGTTCAAGGTCGTTTGCTGATTGGTTGTTAGTGGTGTCGAAAGTTTAACTTCGCGGACTTCGGCATTTCGATGTCCAGGAGCCTAGCTTGTCGACTAGGAAGTCATTGGCACTCCAGTCGTGACTGTGGTGCATAGCAATGAGGTCAATACCTCGTCATATTCAATAAAGTCTGCAGCGTAGAGGTTCACACAATTCACTTTCCTGTGCGAGTGCTTCGATGCTACGCGCTGTTAGGCGTTTTTGAAGTAGATGACTACGCCACCTCCTATGCAGCTTAGCCGGTCCACCCTATGCACTACGAAGTTCGGCAGGTTAGCGTCGTTATCAGTGACATAGGCTGTGAGTCACTTCCCTGTAATGACAGTTACATCCGGAGTCTGTCATAATACCCAGTTCAGTCCGTTTTTTGAACAAGCTGCAAGCATTTGTGTAGCAAACTGTCAATTCAGTTTGGTGCTTCCACTGCCTACCCACAGAGGTTTCGGGATCATCAAACTTCGAACTTTGATAACCCGGAAGCCCCTAATCTTACAGTTTTTCTCTCCATTTCGGCGTCAATCGCCTAATTCTAGGGCCGCAGACTGTCTTTTGACACAGCCTGCTAAGCATAAATCGGCACGGACGTGCATGCATGACCTAAGAGTCATGGAGTTGCTCAGAATGTCATCCCGCTCCTCTTTTGAGTTCAGTATGACCTTGAGAAGGCGTACCAGCTGATTTTCTGTAGTCAGGCTTTTCGCTGATTCTATATAAGGTGTGTATTATTCTGCCTTATAATGTTTTCGGCAGTAGCTTATCTAAGAGTGATTTGACCAGGTTAATGTCATGCTCGAACCCGACCTTAGGTTAAGAGGTCGGTGATTCTTCCACTTGGACGATGACATTTATTTAATAAAAAAGGTCTGAAGCCCTGCCTCTTTATCGGAAATTCTTGGTGAAGAAATCGGTTAGGCTTCTATATGGAATTACAAAATTGTTTATTGAATACTCTAAGGTCAGCTTCAGGGCCATGAAACACCCGCAGATTTCAAACTGTAGTTCTATTTACATTTTCTGAGTTAGTGAACTCCTATTATTTCGTCTTTGTAGAAAGTGAGGTGGGTTGTCCTAAAGTACAGTGAGCTGCTTATTTTTACTGCTGATTGCTGTGGTTGGTTTTCGGCGATGTAGGAAATTAAATATTAACTTTATGAAGTTATTGAGTCACTATATTGGGTCAAAGCGTTTTTCGTATTAGTTAGATAGTGGTAAGACTATCTATCGCTAAGTCTTTGATAAAACTTGGAACCCATGAGTCAAGTTTCAAATTCTCTCATCGAAAAAGGAGTTTTTTAGATGATCTGACAAGATTGCTAGTCGAAAAATAACCGTGGCACAACTATTTCAACATAACCAGATTCAGGGAATAGGGCTTACTTGAAGTAGTCAGATTCCAATGTGTCGCATGCGCTGAGAAAGTAGTGATACTTTCCATCAAAGGGTTTATAAACTGGGCAGCTCTTTTTATTTTATAATTTATTATAGCTTGACTCCACATGGTATTTTTCGTACAAGTATGGAATTTTCAGCATGTGATATTGGTAGCCCAAGTTTAGCAGGCCGACCATTGATATCGAGTGTGCGTTGTCCGGGGATCGAACCCTGGACTATGTTCATGGTCGGCGAGCGTCGTGATCACTGTGCCCCTGATGTGTATGCTACTCTCTCGTCTCTAGTTAAATATTGTCCACATTGAAAAGATTTTCCCATAGATTTTCCACCTTCGCGACCGCAGTTTTTCATCTTAATTTGTTTTATAAATTCTTTACACCTTTCTCCGTTGAATTTTCTCCTCTAGCAAGTAAAGCAAGCTATTTGCTATCTTATATCCACACTTAACAAATTGGAATATCTGATCCCAAGCTGTTGATTTTAAGTTTTTTTCGGATTAATATGTCTTATCAGTCAAACGCAGCGATATCACATGATATTACAAATGGAGAGAATGGATTGGATAAAAGAAAACTTTTTGATCTAACGCCCTCTTTTGGAGACATTGACGATGTCTACCTATCCTCTGCAAATTTCAGTGATCTGGATAGTAATTCATCTATGTCGATGGTTATGTCGGAACGAGTCCAACGCATAGCATCTGGAATTTATCGAGAGTTTGAAACGATGATTGAAGCTTATGGATTACCAGTTGTGGAACGGTTAATGCCATTAATAATTGGTCTATTGGAAAACTTGGATGAATTGTATAAAGATCAAGCTGCATACCACGCTGAAGTGGGACAACTAAGAGAAGAAAATGTACATATCTGTGATCAACTCGCTGCTGAGAAGGCTGCTCGAAAACAGGCTGAACTAGTAAGTCATTTTGTAATAAATTTATTTATTTAATAAAATTAACTATATATATATATATATATATATATATATATATATATATATATATATATATATATACGCTTAAATTGGTTAGAGCTAATTTTAATATAGTGGGTAAGCGTTACTGCCTACGGTTACATTCTTACTAGCACGAATTATGTAGTGAAATCTTGTAGTTTATATATAATGTATCGTACGTAAGTCAGTACTTAGTGTTACGATTAGTTTGGGAATACCAGTAACATCGAAAATAGTATTTTTTTTCTCTCTAGAGGTCTTAATAATATCCACTATTTTATGTATTTCTCAACAGAATTCTCTTGTTAGTTTCCTTTCAAAGAATAATATCCCATCTTGTTGGTAATTTCGAAATCCAAGCATCTATTATAGACTTTTCTGTTCAGACAAAATTTATATACATGATTCACTGAAAGATCTCAGACTTGCAACTTATTCACGTATTTATTACATAGTTGTTTATCTGAAAAAGTTGGTTCATACAATTCAACGTTTGGAAATATTATTTAAGTATACACATAGTTATCTTAAGAAATTACGATAAATCAAGAGAGACAGAATTTGTAGTTTGAAATTACGTCCAAACCGAACTTATGCATACAAAAAGAGAGTAGGTTTAATCCCTCACTTCCTTGGCAACTGAATTCCGAATTTTGAATACATTATTCATCTGTATTAGGGATTCCAGCTCACTAAAGTAATTTCAGTCTTATGAACCAAGATTTTCTTCAGCTGCTGCGTTACTTTGTAAGCTAATACTGTTTATTTTTCGTATGTTTTCTGTCTTCTCCTCTCCGTTTTCTGATTTGAAGTACATACAAATAAATGATGACTTAAACTATAAGCATTTTAATATATGCATTACGCGGAAACTTTTCTCTGTCATCACTCTGACATTTGTATTCCTTTGCCACGATTGTAATTTGAAGTGGTCTGCAGTTGATGAAAGCATCAAAATAAAATGATGTTATTTTAATGCTATGAATATGATCTTTCTTGCCTAGTCGAAACTTAAGCATTTGATTAAATCTAGTGTACCATAGATATACTTCCAGTTGTAATTAACCTCTCTGAAATCTCTATCTCACATAGTGTACAATTATCATATAGTAGAAAGACTATTTCTTTCTTGAATACTAAGAATGCAACTTTAATCAGTAGGATAATTTTATAAATTGCTATCATATGGTGTGTGTTGTTGGTAATAATTTGTATGCAGCATAGATTGGTGGTGTTTTCTTGCAAAGACATCAGTAGACAAGCAATGGACGCGAAGTTGCAGACTGAAAGATTGGAGGAAGGTAGTCATCTAAGAATGAATCCGAAGAGAAATAGGAAGAATTTTAACATGAATAGTATACTTGTTTGTATGATATTAACTATGCTGTGAACGCTTAATGGCTAATAATTAATTAAAAAAGTTTAGTAACTTATAAATGCCCTTCTAATTTTCTTGTATTACCACTGATATTTCTTTTGATTCAACTTTGTGTATGAGTACTTTTCAACGACACAAATATCTATACAAATATATATTATTTCAAAATTTCTTTCTCTACTGTTATTAATTTAGCGTCTACTACAAACTGAAGATACCTTTGATGAAGAAAGGAAAGCAAATGATGCCAAAAATGAAGCCTTATCTTCTTCTTGTCGACAGATTGAATTAAAGCTACAATTGGCTAAAGATCAAGGTTGGTTTGTTCGTCTGTTTATTCTTTTGTTGCCTGTTTTTTGAGTGTGTGTGTATGTGTGTGAACGGGATTTTAACAGATACTTTTAAGCCTTCAAAAATATCGGGGAGTGATTAGTTTAGCTTTCAGCTTGGCTTAGTTCACCAGATGTTGGCTATTATTATTATTATGATTATTATATTTTCCATGAGTCAACAAGGGATTCCATTAGTGCTGTTAACTAATTTAGGTACCGGTAGGTTTATGCCTTGGTATCATGTTTTGATTGGTAGGACCATTTTCTGGCATTTTTTCCATTCTAATGTTATTCTGGTAGTTGTAATTACTGTCCTGCATCAGTGGTAGAGTAGTAGAGTGTTGACCAGCTACTCAGGAGTACCGATGTCAATCCCCACCGACCTACTTCTAAACCTCGCTTAGTTTGCCAGTTAGCAGTGGTCCCGGAATAGAGGCAAAGTTGGGCTAGCAGTCCAACTCTATCAAAATAACTGCCATCGCCACTGAAGCTTCACAGCATATAGCCTTATGCTTCCAGTCAGGAAGCGAAAAATGCAAAATGGCCTCTGTAATAAGTTTTAACTCGAAAAATAAGTTGCATCCCAATAATTCCAAGTCCATAGATGCATTGATTAATTTACCTTATTCTCCAGGCTTCTGACTTGTATCTCACTTATTGGTTTCCTCATATTATTATAACTGTGAATTCAAAATAAGAGGCAGTTCAATAATTATTGGATAATTAAAATGCAGTAAACTAATGATAATATTTCAATAATCGCTTTTTATATCAGAATAAAGTGGTGTTATCGCTAATGATATGCTTATCCAAATATGTATGGGAAATAATTAATGGAATCATCTAGTACTCTAGAAGTCACGATTATTATTATTGTCACTGTGACGATAGAACACGGTAGTGTTTCATAGCAGTTTGTTTATTTCACGAAAAATACCCATTTATTCATAAGTTCTTTTGTTCGGCGAAGAAATTTCTTTTCAACGACTTCATTTTCAAGCTGTACAGTCGTATTTATATTACAGAAAAAGGTTATTAAGTGGCCCTAAATAATTGCTCAGTCAATATAAATATATATGTGATAAGAATAACGATAATCAAAATGTTATAAGGGGTAGAGTTGAAGTGGATAAATTACAAATATTAAAGGTTGTTTTATAAGTGAATTGTTATCAAAAATGTCAAGTGTTGTCTAAAAATTTTAAAAATTAGGAGTACGATTACGCTAAGAATGAAGATGTGAAGTGAGGTGGAAAGAATTCAAGTGGTAAAATAAAATAAAAACTAGAAAGAACATTACTATAACCAAGGTAAAGAAAGGGGTTTGACGAAACGTTTTTGAACACATAATTTAGGTTTCTGTTCATGCATAGCTAAAGCTTCGGCTATGCATAAGTGAAGAAAACGTAAACTTTTGGATCGATTCGATTTTGCCATGTAGATAACTTTGAAACATGAATCACATGGGGCTAAATGACCAGACTCTAACAGGTGATCACAAATAGACGACTTTGCAGTTCTACGTTCGCCTTTCATTAACCAAACCGGATAGTGTTCAGCTACACGTTTTCGGAGATTACGCTTACAACGTCCAATATAAACAGCTCCACAAGAGCAAGTAAAAGAGTAAATGCACATAGATGTGGACAAAAGTGGTAATCTATCCTTGACGCATTGTCTGATCATATTTCGGCTGGTAAAAACTAGTTGCAAGTCAGCTGCAAGGAAAGCGCGTTTAATACATTTAGATAAACGATTTTTAATCTATTCCGTAATTGTGTCACCTTTGAATGCCAGACTCATAAACAGTTTTTTCTTTGGCGCTGTGATTTGTCTAGGGTGGACCTTACATTGTGACCTCCATTTACACATGTTCTTCGCATTGAAAACATTTATTTCCCGATACGAATTTAAAACAAGCAATAAAGGTTAATAAAGCAGGATTTAATGAATTTATCAAATTTCAGTAGAACTGGTCAGCTGAATGCTGTACATGCACGGATATATATTTACTTTTGAAATTACATTGGGAGATATAAAACTGATAAGTAAACAAACTACATTGAATTAGTCATGCAGAAAGACGGAGACCTGCAGAGACTTGTGCAATTCGAGTTTATAAACCAGGTCTCTGTGTACAAAAGGAGATGGTTGTGACTCTGAATCTACCATGGTAACACGTTTTAATTATTATTCTACCTCATTATTACTATTATCATTATTGTTATTATTCTTGATTCATTTAAAGCAATCCTTTATCAGTAAGATTATCGTAGCTCTCTTTAACACTGTTATTATTATTGTCATTATAACTATTACTATTGATATTAGTCTGTTTGCTATTCTCGATGTATTCTCTAATGACTAATTGTTTATCTAAGTGATGCAATTGAAGCGTAATGTGTTTTATCTTAATTTTGATCTTTCATACTGCCTCTCCCCTTATCTATTGGAACATGACCTAGAAAACATTCGCACCTGTCGTCTTTCTGCATGACTGATTCAATGTAGTTTATTTGCTTATCGGTCTTATATCTCCCAATGTAATTTCAAAAGTAAATATATATCCGTGTATGTAGAGTAGTGAGCACCTGAAGAGTTCTGCCGAAATTTGGTGAATCCATCATTAAATCCTGCTTTATTAACCCCTTTATTGTTCGTTTTAAATAAAAATTAGAGGTTAACAATGAACAAAGACAGATAATAAGGATAATAATAATTTGCTTTATTCCAAAACAGTACTTGTGATACGGAATGGAATTCTGAGCATGTTACAACAGTATCGGTATACTACTAATCATATATGCGGCAGGATTCGATTCCTAGCCATTACACTCCTAAAAATGTGGTCTAGTTTACTAGCTGAAAGTAATTCAAAAGAAAAGGGAAGGTTACACTTGAGGCTAGGAACTCCATCTTGTTAAACAAAATGCACTACTGCTATGGGAATTTCGAAGCTCAAGCTTTGACATCCCATGTTCCGCTCGGAACGGAAAGGGATGAAAGAAGAATCTGAGCGATTAATGTGTGAGGGCGAAATAACTTTCGGAAGAGTTAAGTTTCACAAAATAAAGAGAAGTGTGTGACATCAGTGTGTATCCAGTGTTTGAACCCGACGGGTTGTAGAACCCAGTGGATAAATGGTCTACAAGGTCGCCTTGTAATGGGAGGGTCCTGGGTTCGAACCCCAGTGGGAGTCGATAACTAGGGCGAAACACGCAACATACACTTTAAAATAATTAAACTCTGATCGGCATATAGTTAATCATCTTGCAAGCGAATATTTCATTCTTCATATTTTGTTATATACCTTCTGAAAATACGACTGTAAGCTTTGGATTGTCATCAGCTGTGGTGTTGTTTCTGTGAGTTGGGGTTGCTAGCCTCACACATAAACTCTCCTCTTTTCCAAAATTACTACCGTCTAGTAGCAATGTATACGAGGTTTGAGAGTGCGTTGACTAAGACTCGAATCTGTCCTTCCCACCTGTGTGACTAGCGAGCATTCTGCCACTAAACTATGGATACACAACCGTCAATTATTCCTACAAGAATTATATCATAATTTAAGTTGTTTTAGTAAGAAATTCCCTAGTGACCATATTATGCATTGAAGTGATAAATATTTTGAAGAGTACCCTGGTTTGAACATTTAAAAGAAATTGATAACCAATTGAGGCGTAACTTGTGCGCTAGCTAGCGTATTCTTTTATCTACTCTAGTATTTGCCTCTATTTCTTTGCTTTCCTACTGAAACATGTAGCTTCCAACTTGAGCTTTAAAGTCTCGGTAGCAGTAGTGTTTTGTTTTTCCTTTACGTGACGGGGTTGCTAACCCTACACACCCTACCTTTCCTCTTTACTCGATTTAATACCGGTTAAACGAGGTTTAAGACTCCGTCGGCTGGGAATCGAAGTCTCGACCACATCGGAGAGTAAATGTTGGTCGATTAAATCTGTTTATAAGAGTTGATCACGGATTGACATCAGTTAGAGAACCACCAGAAACCACCACCAGGGAGTATTGGAAAGCTGTTTCATCAGCCTAGTTTGGGAATCATCGGGACTACGCACTCACCCCGCCAAGGTTCGAACCCAGGACGTCCTGGTTACAAGGCGAGTCCGTATACCATTCATTTAGTCACTGGGATCCGAATCAGTGACCAGACAATGAATTCTAACTTCTACCACTTCGTGATTTAACGCGACTGGCACCAACCAATGTCATCGGTGGGACATCCATCCTCACACATGACTGGATGGACCTCGCTGGAACTCGAGGGAACTCCGTCCTCTAGCAAGTCATTAGTGAGCATCAAATAGAAGTTAGAATTCATGGGTTGGCCATTGAATCGAGTCCCATTGGCTGAATGTGGTTGATATGTATCCACATATATATATTTATGTGTGTGTGTGCATGTTGGTCTCTCTTTCTGTTTGCTCGGTTAGTCTGTGACCACTTCACTTGTATGGACTTGTCTCCTTTAATAATGTGTATTCTCCTTATATTATATTATATATAATATGAGTGTTTGTTGACAGTCCGTTGCTTGGTGACATATATCCATATATGTTTGTTGGCATGTCTGCTATATTCGCTATGTATAATTGGATCGACACTCCATTATAATTAGCCATTCATGTTAAGACTGTCTAATGATTTTTCCCACGCTTGCCTGAATTATTTATATATATTCGCATTCACAATTTGTGTGAACTACTTTACTTTACAACTACTTTACTTACTTACCACTTTGGTGTGAGACCATTTATTTTCGTCTCCTTGTGTTTGGACAATAGAAGTATCATCGCAAACCTAGTGGTCTTCTGATTTCCGCCTTCTCGCGTCAGGACTATTAGTTTCTCGACCAGTCCATAACAATAATTTAGCGACGAGTACATAACAATTTGGCGACGGGGAAACTAGTACATAACAGTGGTATACGAACCAACTTGCCTTATTACCGGAAGGTCCCGGGTTCGAA